GGGCGGGGGGCTTTGCCTTGCAGGCCAGTCAGCCCCCGCCAGCCACCTCATCCGGGTGGAAGGCAACAACCTCTCCCAGTACGTGGACGACCCCGTGACGGGACGGCAGAGCGTGATGGTGCCCTACGAGCCCCCGCAGGTACCCGGCTGCTCCCGGGGTGGGGGCAGGACCGACCCCCGCCTCCAGCCGGCGCTGCTGGGGCCGAGGGGGAACCCGCGAAGGCAAAGGGTGGGGGGGTCCTGCTTCCCTGCGCACGTCCAAGGCCACCCCCTGCTTGCTCCCTGCACACGGCAGCTCCCACCCCAGAGCATCCTGTTCCTGGGAACCGGGGGCAAAGGGACATCCCCTCCTGTCCTGCCCTGGGGGGCCCCAGAGCCCCCCCAATCCTCGTACCGTCCCCTTTTCCCAGCTGGGACCATCCCCACACCCCCCTGCCCTGCTGCTCCCGTGCTCGCCCCACCAAGGGGCCAGCCCCACTCTGGGGGGGCCCAGCCTGCCTCCCCCTCTTCTTCTCTCCCCTGGGGGGGCCCAGGCTGCCTCCCCCCCTCCATCACCAGCTCAGCACTTACTCTCCCCTCCTGGGCAGGTGGGGACCGAGTTCACCACCATCCTGTACAACTTCATGTGCAACAGCAGCTGCGTGGGAGGAATGAACAGGAGGCCCATCCTCATCATCATCACCCTGGAGATGAGAGAGTGAGTGGCTCTTGGGGCGGGATGGGCGTCTCCCCCCCAGCTGCGGGAGGGCTGGGGCCCCTCGGGAAGGGATGTCCCTGCAGGGAGCACCCCCAGGGGCAGAGGACCGGGCAGCCTCAGCCCGTGGCAGGGGTGAAGCTCCTCTGCCGGCTGGGAAAGGGGCTGGTACAAGAGGACCAGTGTCAGCTTCTGCCCCCGCAGCTGGAGCCTTCCTCTGCCCGGGGAGCTCCTCTTCCCCGGGAAGCTGCTGCTGGCGGAGTCCCCACACTCAGACCCTCAGGGGCTCGTTTCCTCCTGCGCGATCCGTGCACAGGGCGGGAGGGGAAGGGACTCCCCAAGGTCACCGATCGCCCTCTCCCACCAGCGGCCAAGTCCTGGGCAGGAGATCGTTCGAGGGACGGATCTGTGCCTGTCCCGGCAGGGACCGGAAGGCCGACGAGGACCATTACCGAGAGCAACAGGCCCTGAACGAGAGCGCAGCTAAAAACGGCAACGCCAACAAACGCAGTGAGTGCCCTGGGCGGGAGGGGAGGGGGCTCAGGGCTCCGCTCCGCCGCAGCCCCCGGCCACCCCCGGCCACTCAAAGCCCTGCTCCCGAAATCCGGGCTCAACTCCTCAGCCAGGCACGACGCTCTGACCTTCCTCGACTAAACCCAGAGTCTCATAAATAAGAAAGACCCTCTCCCTCTTCCCTCCAGAGCACAGAGCTGTTTGTGCAGAGCTTTCACATCCACAGACGGGTTTTGTTCATTTTTGTTACTAATAAAGGGGCCAGGACCTGGGTGAGCAGCCTCCATCCTGCGTGGCTTGAGCTTAGATCCTGCCGGGAGCCAAGGCGCTGCCAGCTGGGCCCTGCCCTCCCGGGGACAGCGCCCTGACCCTCCTCCTCCTCCTCCTCTCTCCCGTCCAGCCTTCAAGCAGAGCCCCCAGGGCATCCCAGCGCTGGGGAGCGGCGTGAAGAAACGGAGGCACGGGGAGGAGGAGATGTATTATGTGCCTGTAAGTGTCGTTGGGCTGCGCCAGGTGAGAGCTTGGCCCCGGAGGGTGTTGGCCCCTCGGTGAGGAGCCCTCGGGGAGGGGCCGCTCGGCAGGACGGGGTTGCACTGGGTCCCACGGGGCGACAGGCGCAGGGGCTGAGCGGAGACCTTGAGAACAGGAGCAAAAGCATCTGTGAAGGCACGTGTCCAAGGGAGCCGCGGCCCCCCCGAGCAGTTGCTGTGACACTGCACCTTGTGCAGTTGCGGGGGGGAGGAAAGTGGCCAAGTGGGAGGGGAACAAAGCGAAGCCCTGGGCTTGTTCCCTCCCTCCAGGTGCGAGGCCGGGAGAACTTCGAGATCCTGATGAAGATAAAGGAGAGCCTGGAGCTGGTGGAGCTGGTCCCGCAGCAGCTGGTCGACTCGTACCGGCAGCAGCAGCAGCAACTCCTGCAGCGGCAGTGAGTACCGCACCCCCGGGACCCTCCGGCAGCCCCTGGGACCCTCCAACAGCCCCTGGCAGCCCCCGAGACCCTCCGGCAGCCCCGCTCCAGGCTCCCAGTACGTCTGCCCGACCTGGCTCTTCGCCGGGGCTGGCAGCTGTCACGGAGCCACTGCTGGTGCAAAGCAGCTTTTCTGCGCCGTGGGCTGCACCGCCTGAAGCCTCGTCAGGAAGCTCTGAGGGGCCGGAGGGGAGCTCTGGGCCAGGGGGCTCCATCCCCCCGCTGCAGCCTGACCACCCCCTTGGTTTCCCTGCACAGGACTCAGCCTGT